CCTTCACCTTCCTTCTTGTATATCCTGAAGGAATACATTCACTACCAAATCATGCAGCTCTGAGCCTAGAAAGTAAGTCAATTTACTCCCATCCACCAAAAAATCCACAGGTGATCTGTGAGTCTACCTCTTCCCCTTCCTCTCCTGGCACTATTGTAAAGCTGAGGTCCTCTGTAATTCTGATTTTCCTTTCCAGATTTCAGCAAAGAAGCTTTTCCAGGTTAGGGCAAGATTTATCACCAAGCACATAGGACCATGTGGAGAAGCCTCCAGCTGTTGATTCGCTCCGCCATCTGCTCCCTCATCTCCATCCCTCTGTCTTTCCCAGCCTCTCAGTCCCAGACTCTTCCAGCTCTCAGCATCCTTGGTCAGACATTTCTCCACCCTTCTCCTTAGGACCCTCCATGTTGCAGCTATGTCCTAGACATGAATCACTTCAGGGAACCCCCATGCCATTCTTGCCTGTTTGTTGCCATGCTCCTGCTATCCCCTTACTCCCCATTTGCAATCTCTCACATATCTCCTCTACTCGCCCTGATTCTTTGAGGCTCCTGCACAGGTCCTCAGCTGTAGCAAGACCAAAAAAAAAACCTTTTCCTTCTGTTTTGAAGCGAAAAAGGTGGTTAAGTGTAGCTCTGCTTGCACATTTCCAGTCTGGAGCCCTGACAGTTACATCACTACCTTCCTGCTGCAGAGAGAAAGGAGCTACTGCGGGTCCCCAGCCTGCTGGGACAGGCTGATTTCTGAGCATAAAGCAAAGCATGCTGCTACAAGCAGGGGTACAACTCTCCCTACCCCAGAGGTGACAGACAGGGAAAAGCACTGTGTGTATCAGCTGACCAGTATTGCCACCCTTTGGGTCTCCACATATGCCTCCATACATCCCCCCAGGCACAGGTCAGAAGGCAGGGAGGAAACCTAGCAAAAATGCATCTCCCTCCTTCTTGACCCAAGGGAGCACTTGGGTGGATGAGGACAGGGTAAGAGGTCCCTTTAAAGCAGCTGGGAAAGCCTCATGTGCAAAGAGGAGGAGTGACAGGACCACAAAATTGCTAGGAACAGGAGTAATAGTCCTACAGTTGAGGGAATCAGGTTAAGGTGCCCCCAAATAAGACTATGCAAGAGAACTGAGGTGCCCAGCCAGGCACACATGTGAGTGATCTTTGTGGGAGCAGGCTAACTTCAAGCAATAGGAACAGGAGGAGGTAAAGTAACCATCTAGCTGTAAGGCAGTCCCTCTCATCTACCACTGTGCCAAGCGATTAAGGAGGTCTCAAGCAATGGTCTGGAGAAGGGAAGAGCTTTCCTGAAGGCCATTCCCTAAAAACCAGTGGGAAAGTGCTCTGAGAGCCTGGTGCTGGTGCTCCTTGCGTCTTCACACAAAGTTTGAGCAACACTGCAATTCAAGTTTGTGCACATTCCATTTCTTTTTCTTTTTAAAAGAAGCCTTTCACACAGCTGATAAAGAGATAACACTTGGACATCCCTCAGTCTGGGAACATATCACACAGGGTTATGAGATGGCCAGAAAGACAGGTCATCAAAGGGTCATCTACCCACAATATTTCCTAAGTGAACACACTTAGTAAGTCCAGAGTAAGTCCTTTAGCTACTTTGATTTTACACTGGAGCTTTCTTACTTCCAGATAATGGAGGTAGAAGTTACTTATGGCTTAAAAACCTAAAAAAACAGTAAGCAGATGAGGGCTCCATCTGCAATTGTGGTTGTGTCCTGCTCTGCAGAACATGCGACACCGAACTGCTGATTGGTGACAGTGAGAGCTGTGCAGCCCACTGGCAAGACTCTCAAGTCACCCTGAGAGCAGCAAGTTCACACGGACTCACTGCTCCATCTCTTCCGGGGATAAAAAAAGCTGTTGCAGGCTGTGTTTCCCACGAGAGCCCTTATTCACAGTCAGTGTAACTCCTCACATGGGGAAGAACTTTGTGTTTTCCTTTGGAAACACAAATGAATGTAAGCCTCCTTCCTACAAAGCTTTTCCCATCTCGAAACTCTGTATGAAACTGTGAAATCCGAAAGGTAAGTCAGAGGCCAGGAAATGCCTTCATGGTTTTGCCTTGCTTCCTGCAGCTATCAAAATGCTCATAAGCTAAATATGGGAAATTTTCTCCTAATTTCTGAGTGTTTGAATTTATGACCCTAAGTGCTCCCAGGGAACAGCAGCTGCTGTCCTGGGAGCTTTGCTTCCCATCACATTCGTGGCCAGCATGCTCCTTCGACACAGCAGTTTTAAAATCAAAAATCAACTCAATCTCAGAAGGCAGCATTTAGATATCTAGGAAAACCATGAAATCCCCTGGGCTGACCCATTTCTGTCATTTTCTAGAAACACTGAGTACTGACTCTCATGAAGGCTCAAGAGTGCCAAGACCAAGGCTGGTTACCTTGTACGATCAAGCTTCCATTCACTGCTGCCACAACATGGTTCTTGAAAGTTCATCTCCAGGACATTTATTTAGTTGTCTTTGTTCCTCAGAGGTTTTTAGCAGCTCTCCAAATTGTTCCTCCTGTATTATACCTCCGTTTTTTTAGATGGCTTGCAACACTGCAGTGCAACAACACTGCAAAGCCAAGTGACCAAATGGACATTTGCCAAATAAGTTCTAAAAAGCCCCCAGGACAAACCAGAGGCTTTGCCATGAAGCAAAGAGGTCAAAGCAAACAGGAGAGTAATTTAACTGAGAATATTTTAATAGCCTTCATTGTGAGCAGCAAAGAGGCCAAAGAACTAGACATGCCCCCCTCAGCCCTGGTGAGCCAGGTACTGCTTTAACCTTTTATTCCAGAAGATGCTAAAAGGCAGAAACTCACCTGTGCCCTTCTAGGAGGCACCTCTGCAGCCAGGAGGAGGAGAGAGTTCCCCTGCAGAAGCCACGGCTGCAAGGTCTCACCAACCACAGCCTCCACAGGGACCATGTGCTGTGCGTCAGCTGTCACCGTGTCACCTGGCCAGGGGAGGTCTTAGGCTGGCATGTGACAGGAGGAGATAAGAGGCAGCGCTTCCTTGTAAGGAAGTGGCCAGGCTTCACGTGCAATGGGCAAAGAAGAGCTCCACCGAACTTCACTGTGCGCAGGTGAGATAAATTGCCTTAAGAAAAGTTAAACCTGGACCAAATCAGACTGCAGCCATTAGTGACATTACTTATGAAACAGGACCCAGCCTCACAAAATTTTGGTACCTGAGGGAACCCCAAAACGTGTAAGGTATAGAGCCTGTATCTGGCCTTTTGCAGGAAAGGCTCACTGGTTCTGTGCCACCTCCTTTGTTGATGCCTGCCTTGGCACTGCCTGGGCAACAAAGCCACAGAAATCTAGGCCAGCTTAGCTTCTATTAGAAACGTCTTGAAATAAAATTGTTATTTGGGTTTGTGCCTGCAGTTGCAGGAGAAAGACAGCCACCACTTCAGTTTCTGAACAACTATAACATGACAGATGTTCTTGGGAACTCCAATATCCATCCAGTGAGAGTTTCTTGGGCAATCTGGTGCTGCTCAATTTAAGGGCAGCAAAATTGTGCCTGATTGAAAAGGACAAAGCAGCAGCAAGAATCCAGAACAAAAGCTAGAGCCAAGATCTCCCACTGGCTTCTTTAATGATCAGAGACAAATGCCTGCACCACCCATTTTCAACAGGGAATGTCAAGCAACTAAAGATATAGTTTTGGTCTGATGCTCTGAGCTTTTAGTCATTCACTTAACCTCTTGAAATGTCCATGAAAACTCCCTCAGTCTGAGAGTCACCTTGAGACTATTCCACCCCGTTCTGGGTTTAGTTTTGCATGGAGACAGAAAAGCCTTTCAAATGTATGTGTTTGTATGGGAATGTATTTAGTTGTTGAGAAATAAGTTGTTTATTATGGCTATTGAGTTGTTAGAAACAAGATGATAACTCAAATGCTGCAAGATTATGATACTGTTTACTCTATACCCCTCAGTTACAACATCTCCTTCGTTCAGGCATCGCTGTCAGGAGTAGTTTTCCCTTTATAAATCAATGAGTCACGCCAGAGAACTTTCCTTGCTGCTCAGCAGCAAAATGTGTGGTCATCTGCAGCCCACAGCAGAAAGTTAGTGGGCAGCTCAGCGCCTTTCACACTCAACCCATTTCTCTTGCAGATGCTGAATTGCTTTTTCCAGTCCGGGTATGTTTCCCTTCTGGGTCACTAGAATTGTTTATTAATTGTTACTGAAAAAATTTATGTAGGTGGTATATTTAATGCTCCGTTCCCAGTGCTGTTGTGGCAGGGTCCTGACTGAAGTGTCCTCAACCCAGGACTGAACCTCCTTGGAAGCAGATCCCATCCCTGCCATATGCATGATGACCATACACTGTATTTAGACTCCATGTCACGGTGACTGGACCGGGCTTATGCGGCAAGGAAAGGGAGAAACTGAAAACCCAGAGCCCTGCTCAGAATGCCAACTCCTGGACAAAGACCCATGGTTACATCTCCTATCTGATGCCACTTGCAGGGCCAGAGGACAAGGGCTGTTCCTGCAAGAACCCTAAGAAGGAACAAGGAAGAGGGCACTGGAGAAGTGACCTCTGGCTATGCAGAGGGACCAGTTGGTGGTTTCCCACCTGCTGAAGGCTAGTGTGGAGGAAGAAAACCCAACACTGAACACTGCACCAAACAAAAAGCCAAAGCCAAGCTCCAGGAAGCCATTCTGGGGCAAAATGACCCCACCAGGAGTATAAGGAGGGAGAAGGGGAAGGATGAGAGGTGCTTACGTGGAGGAGCGGTGTCTCTCCAGGTTGAGCCGGAGGGACCACTCAGGTCTCACTTCAGGTCACACAGGGACCAGCTCTGGCAGCTTTTGCAAGGCATTTGCAAGCTGCCAAGAATTTCCACTGTGTCTCTCTTTTTGAGGCTTCTCTTAATTACCTCAATTTACAAAGAGGCAAAGGAAAATAACCATCACACCTGCCTCACCCTCACAGCCAAGCCCTGCTCAGCTGTATTTTAGCACAGATCCTCTACAGTATTAAAAGTACACTTTATTTTCTGTACAATTCTCATCCAAATCTCCAGATGTGGAAATGTCCACTGTGTCCCCAGAAAAAGTTGCAGATTGCTGCCATGAGACACTGTCCACAATTGTCCAGGAGGGGCACAGAGCCAGGCCCACCAAAAACAAGTGCTGATGCTTTCTAAGCGCAGGGAGGAACGCAGGAAGGAGGGAGAGGGAAAGCCAGTCCTGCTCTGCCACAGAGCCGCGAATGACCAGAGCTTTTGACTGCTCCCTGGGTAGCAGAAGAAGCACCCTCAAGTTCACGTCATCGTTCGTGCTTAGTGTGGGAGTCGTTCCGTTCAACCGTCACCCCATTCCCATTCCGTGTCACCTCCTTCCTGTTCCAGTCCTTTTCCAGGTAAAATTCAGCGAGCACTGGGCAGTGGTCTGAAGCCACCCCGCCCCAGGACCAGTTATCGGGGATCCATGGGTTTGTAAGCCCTTCTCTCACAACAGCCCAGTGACCTGCATCAAAAAGAATCAGAGAAAAAGGTGAGTAATACTGCCCAAATTTGACACAAACTGCTAACCTAACTAAAGGTTACACAACCTCACTAAAAAGCAACTATACCTGTGAAAACCTTTTTCAAGCTCCGACTGATCCAGATGTTGTCCAGCGACTTGGACCCTTGTGGGTTCTTTGTGCTGATGTTAGTGAAGGTGCTGGAAGGGACCAGGTGATGGAACTTCTCCTTCCTCAGGATGTCATGGTCACTGCTGTCTGGGGCCTGGTTAAAATCTCCGAGGATGATTACATCTTTTTCTCCTAGAAAACAGAAAAATAGAAAAGAATGGGAGGAATGGACATCCATCACTGAAGTACAAGAGGGAGAGGGAAAAATGAGAGGAAGTAAAATACAAATACTGAATAGCAAAGCTGACTGTACTCTGAACTCCTGAAAGAAATGCTGTCTAAAGCCTTTTTCACTGGCTATTTAGTCATGGCCATTCTCTTCATGACAATAAAACCAACCAGTACATGTTTGATGCTTGTTTTTAAATACAATCTAATTTATATTGATGCCTTTTGCTTGCTATTCACAGATAGAGACAAACTCAAAGACAAGCGGTTCTTATCTTAGAGGTTTTTAGGAATCTGCGACTTTGTAAGCTTCTTTTTTTTTTCCCCTGCAAGAAATACAAATTTGCTTTAACTTGACTTGACATTGTCTTTTTACAGATTTTCTGTAAAAGTCAAGGACACTTTTGTGGGGAACCCAGGAAGACACAGCCTCATGCTGATATATGTCAGAGTCTCAAAAGTGCAATGCTCATTCTAATCTGCATTTGAGAAATCCCAAGGAATAAGACCGAGGAGTAGCCTGCAAGCCTGATGGCAGAAGGTAAGTTGAGAAACTACCCAGACACTCCCTGACTACAGCAGCTTTCCTTTGCCTGGCTGACTGAAGGGATACTGCTCAACTCGGAATACTTCAGATTTTTGCCTAGAGTTGAATTTTCAAAGAAACACAAGCAATGACTCAAAATGCTTGTCAAAGAATCCTGTCTTCATGTGAACAGAAAATTATTTCAGTTATATTGTATTTCCAACCTGAATGAGTGAGAAAAAAAACTCTGGACCCTAATTTCATATCCACAATTTGTGCTTTCCTAGTTCCACAGATGTGGATGCAGATATCCCAGCTGTGCACTGGGGTAAGATGACAATGCCCACGGCTCAGTGCCCATCTCAAACCACTGCCAGAAACATCTGAGAAGACAAACTGAAGAATGCTGACAGCTGATAGAGATGTTTCTGCGTTACAACTTGGTACTGGAAAAGTCGAGAAAGATGCTAAAAAGGAGGCACAAATGCACAAAAAAATTATCCCAAAGATCACTTCAGAAAACAAAACTATGAGAGCCTATAAGCTTTTTCCTTCCTGGGATTGGAGTGTGGGAGGTGGTGGGGTGGACAGACAGATTGATCTACCATACTTAGTGCTCTTGGATGAACCTCATTTTGTGCTACTGCTGTAGAAGTCACTATCCAGGAGAGGGAGCACAAGCTCAACAACAAAATCAATTCCACTCCTGTCTTGCACTGCAAGAAAGATGAATTGGGAAAGGGCACAAAAGCAGCAAGACTGATGACATATGACTTACAAATACTTCAAAACATGCTGTTTGCTAAGATGCAGGGGGGCGATGGTGAAAATATTTGTGATTTCTCTACCCTTTGCAAGTCACAAATCATACTGTAAATAACATGAAGCTTAAATATTATTCTATAAAGTTTTTGGGACAGCAGTCTTCCCATCTTTGAAAGAAATAAAAAAACAGAATCTCAACCTGAGTTGTTTTAAGCTCCACCAGAACTTAAAAGAAAAATCAGTGCTTGTGTAATGGGAGAACAGTGCTTGCTGTGAGCTGGTGGTATTGCATGCCTCTCATCACAAACATCTCTTGCTTGGCAGGACCAGGAAGCTGGAAATGCAACTGCAACCATCTTGGTCCTTCAGTACTAACACTTGCTTAACGGCCCAGGCAGCACTCAGCTCCTTCCCTGCTTTTAGCTTGGCCCTATAAGTGGGAAAGGGCCATTACGGAAACCTCTGGAGCACATCCTTGGGGGGTGGTGTTTAAAAATGACAGAGAGGCAGGGATCTTAACAGCAGTATCTTGATTATGCACAAAACTATTCTATTCTATACTACTTACACTTCTTTTAGCGAATCTTCAAGCCTATTTCCCTCACATGAAAAATCTATTACAAAACCCACCCTACTTGCAAGTGAAAATTTTAACTGACTGCTCCATTCTGCACAGTTCAGAAACAGCAGAGGCTAAAAGACCCAGCACCTGGATGTGTGCTTGGAAGGAGGTAAGAAGTCAGCCTGCAGCTAACTGCTCAGGGAGGGAATCACTATATTCTTCACCCATTTAAGCTTTTGCATGCAGAATAACTAAGCATAAAATCGTTACACAGTGTGAAGTTGACAGAAGGAATAGGCTGGTGCATGTTAAAGAGGCTGGAACCAAATTTGCCACAGGGGAGAGAAAGGATTGCTTCTGGTCCCCTCTCTCAGGAGCTTCTGGGACTCCCCAGATTGCAAATCAATGGGGAATATATCGGGTAGCCTGTGCTAAGCAAGGAAGAGCAAGAAACAGCAATTTTATAGACAACCACCAACTTCATTTCCCCCTGTCCTGGCTCGCTCTCAGCCTTGCTCCTACCTCTGCCAGCTCCTGCGACAGCAATGTCAATGCACACCAGCACTGAGGTTTCGTGTCTTGTCTGCCTCCCAAGACCCTGACAGACATCAAACAGCGGGAGGGAAGGAAGTGAACCCGCCTGGATCCTCCCGAGTGCGTGACTGCGCCTAACTGGACACCCCCGGGTCTCTCAGCAGAGGCAGGGAGCAGAGCTGCACACAGTAGCTGCAGCTCTCAGGGGTCTCACAGATCAGCCTTAATGGCTCTCGGCCAAACTTAGCAAAAGTTCCAGAAGAAATCGTGCCCTTGTTCGTAACAAGGGATGATAACTGATCAAAAACTGCAGTCATGATATCCAGTGTTACAATGAGATGGGGGAAAAAAAGAAAATCAAGACAATGCTACTGGTGCTGTGCTGTGATTTTCCTCTTCTGGAGTTAATAAGTTTAAACCTGGCAGGACTTGATTTTCCTTCTCCTCAGGAGACAGAGGCTCCTCAGCCAATGCAATCTCGTTCCTCTCCCTCTACAACAGGACAGAGCAGAAGGTGCTTCACTACCAAGCCATCTTTTGCTGCAAAAGCCACTGACACAGACTGTAATGTCCACAAGAACCCAGAGCCTCCATCTGTTGGATGTGGTGGCATACATCACGCAGCAGCCAGGCACGTGTCCCATTCATTACCTCTCACTGGTGCTCCCAAACACATTCAGACCCACTGGGCCCAAAACAACCATGTCCTTGTCAACAGAGAACTCCTCAGGTGAAGAAAACATCTAGTCTGCTTGCAAATGCATCTTCAAACTCACTGAAGCACCAGTGAATTCTAGCAGTGCCTGCGGGTGGCTCTTGGCCAGCAAAGCAAAGCACTGCCTTAACTCAGCCCTGTGCCGCAGTGGCTGAGCTCTGGTGTGCCAATACAATCAGCTGAGGGACTGACAGTGCCTGCAGAAAGTCTGCAGTCTTGAAATCTGCTTCCCTGCAGGAATCGTGAAACCCTCCTTTGCTTTGCTGCAGTCCAAAGTGACACCTGTAGGACACTCTCCCTGATTTTTCCATGCCCTGAATGGATTTCCCTCGTGAATTAAACAGACCCTTAAACCTCCAAATCCTTCCTGGAGAGAGTGAGATGCAGATGTTGAGAAGTATGTGATCGTAAACTGGCTGCTAAGCGGCTCCCTACTGCTTCTCAAAGGTCTTGTAAGCCTAGTGATGCATGGGTAACCCATGGAATATGGTCAAGCCATATGAGAGAAGATCACAGAATGGTTTGGGTTGGAAGAGACCTTAAAGATCATCTATGTCCAACCCCTCTGCCATGGGCAGGGACACCTTCCACTAGACCAGGTTGCTCGAAGCCCCATCCAGCCTGGCCTTGAATACTGCCAGGGATGGGGCATCCACAGCTTCTCTGGGCAACCTGTTCCTGTGCCTCATCACTCTCATAGTAAAGAATTTCTTCCTAATATCTAATCTAAATATCCTCTTTCAGTTTAAGGCCATTCTCCCTTGTCCTATCCCTACACGTCTGTGATGGTTTCAGTCTAGGCCTTCCTGGAAACCAGCTTGTAACCAGGAAGGAACTAGGAAGGTGACCAAGGAAGTATTCCATGCTATTCCTTTACGTAACCTAGGGTATAAATAAGGCATTGATAAGATAGTTCGCTCTCTTCCTTTCCGGCGAGGTCTCTCTCCAGCTCTCTTGTAGGCCCCCTCTAGGTACTGGAAGGCTACTATAAGATCTCCCCAAAGTCTTCTCCAGACTGAACAACGACAGCTATCTCAGCCTTTCTTCATAGGAGAGATGCTCCAGCCCTCTGACTATCTTCATAGACCTCCTGTGGGCTTGGTCCAACAGCTCCACGTCCTTCCCCTGTTGGGGGTCCCAGAGCTGGATGCACTGCTCCAGATGGGGTCATACGGGAGCAGAGTAGAGGGGTAGAATCACCTCCCTTGACCTGCTGGCCATGTGTCTTTTGATGTGATTGGCTCTCTGTTCTGCAAGCACACATTGCTGGCTCATGTTCAGCTTCTCATCCACCAATACCCCCACGTTCTTCTCCTCAGGACTGCTCTCAATCCATCCAATACCCTGAGCCCTGGGTCCAACCACTACATTCAGAATAGCACCTGTGTGTTGCCCATGCTCACCGCACTGAAGATGAACTTGTGGAATTCCTGAGAGAAGACAGAAGAGCTGCTGCAAAGAGTTAGCTACGAGCAGCCAGCAGCCACCACGTCTCTTCAGTACCAATGAAGGAAAAGAAAGAGGAGGGAAAAAGGAACCAGGACCCACTTGTCTAATGGAGAAATATGGGCACACTAGTGTTCTGCATTACAGGAGGCTGTGGGTAGTAAACAGTAAACAACATTCCTCAGATGCTCACGTGCCTCCTCATAAGAAGAAAGGATAGTTAAACAGGCATCTGTTAGCAAAATGGGAACAGAAACTCAAATTTACTGCAGTACCCACAGACAAATAAGTTCTTATTACCCATATTTTATGAATTGATTTGGAAGAAATTGAAGGATGGCAGTAATTTTAAGCATGACATTCATTTTGGCAGGGTAATTCAGTACTTCAAAGTAACACATGTGCACTCCCATTTGTTTAGGAAACCACACCTGCAACCCACAGGTTTGGAGGAATCTGAATCTCATTTTTTGTGAAAGACTAAGTCAACAACAAGCTTGCTCCAGTAACGTGCCTCCCATATGAAAATTAAAACATAAAGAGAATGCCAACAATCTAAATTTAGACACAGTGGAAGTGCAACTCAATTGACTTCAGAAGAGCTACACACTTATTTGTGTCTCAGTTCAGCCTTTGGGGATTAAACAAACAATCCTTTTGTTCACCTTCATCCTTTCCAATTTTAAAGTAAGTGGACAAATACTTTAATCAGTAGCACTTAAAATAGCTCTGACTGACTTCTGCAGCTCAAAAGGAACAACGATACAACACGCATGAAAACTGCAAATACCTGTGGTGTTATACAAGAGCGATATTAACGCTTCCAAGTGACCAACCTTATTAAACTGGGCCAAGTTGAAAATCGTCACGCATACAACCTTGCAACCCTTTCACATCTTTGTTAAGCAGTAAACAAAGGGCTAGATTTTTCTATTCCTATAACAAGATCAGCAACATCTGAAACATTTCGTTCTGCTTCATAGGAAACTGAATATTATTTGCAAGCTTCAAAGTAAGAAGCAAATTTGCAGAAACAAGGTAGAGAAATTCAACTGCTATTACATTGCTCAAGTTCAGATCTACATTCTGGTGTCATTCTTTTCTCATTAGCAGCTGTCTCCTGATTTACATTGGGTTTTCCAAAGAGCTTTCAATTATCCAAAAAGTAAATATATAAAACCTACTTCTCTTGAGGGGAAAAAAAAAATTAAGCTTTGTTCTGATATCAGGTAGGTGTCATTTCCACAAAGTATTTAAAATAGGGTCTCAACTCTGGTGTCTTTTTTTTCCTTTGGCAGAACTTGCTCTTACAGTAGCATAAAATCAGAAGGAACTTCATTTGAAAAAATGATGTCAAAGCCAGTAGGATTCCCTGTGCTGTTTGTGTTAATTAGGAAAGACTATAAGACAGGGAGAAAGAGAAAAGCACATTTGTCATGCTATGCATAATTCAAATACAAATGCGGGTAAAGACAATTGTGAGGCTGATGAGGATATTTGTGAAATGCTCACTGAAGCAGATTTTATTCTTTTTAAAATTCCTTTTAATTAGATAAACCCCAGTGTGCACGTGACAGCTGGCAGGAAAAAACCTGCCCTACCTTTCAGAGTCTCCTGCAAACTCTGCGCACAGGCTGCCAGTTTGTGGCTGTCGTGGTTCTTCCCGGTATTCTCTCCCGCTGAGGATGGCAAGGCCAGGTGAAGGTTAACCACCGTTAGATCATTCATTCCAACCTGGGGGAGGAAGGAGGAGAAATCAATGCCGTGCAGACAGGGCACGGAAGGTCACAAAGCAAAACCACGTGCCTGCTCCCAGTACTTTTAGTAGTAAATTTGGAGGACTAGGACTCCCTCTGCTATGTATGTGGTGTGTTTTGGTGTGTCTTATTTTGAGGAGGAAGGGGAGGGAAGCATTTTGCAGCTTTGTGTGCCTTAACCTGAAAGCCTCTCAGTTCTGGTGAAACTGGTTTGCATACGCAAACAGCTCCCTTCCACCACAGTTGCAGAAAGAAGTCTGCTGCTTATGAAAATCAGTTTATGTAAAACCAGTTATTAATAAGCTACAAATAATGTCATGGTCATTACAGGGGCTAATTACTACTGTCTTGTGATTAGCCCTAGTTCGTCACAGAGACTAACCAAGAAACGTAATGTACCTTGAAAGGAGCTGTTGGCTCTCTGCAATCTTCTTACCTTCTGGGAATCACTTGGAACAAGTAATACTTACTCCTAATATTGACCTATTTGCATAATTATTTAATTACTAGTAATTTATTTATTCATAATTATTTGATCAATGCTTCTCTCAAAGCGTCACCAGACACGTCAAATTGGATTCCTCCATCACAGCCTGTGCAGAGATGGGCTCCCTCTGCTTACATGTTTGCTCGAGCTTATGTACAAGAACTGTTTTCAAAACTGATGACATTGTTTTAGATGGGTTCAGCCTAGTGAAAAAGCTTTGTAATGGAAACTCTGCAGTATGATAGCAACATATAACAGGCTAGCCCGAGTCTCTCTGCAGCACTGTGCCTTATACACACACACACACACACACACACACACACATATATACATAATCTATCTCCATTCTCCCTGCACTTATCCCTCTTTGTGGCACTGACAAGAATAACAGCCTTGTGGCTGGCTGCTGCTGGACACACACCTCATTCTGCCTGTGTTAATTTGGTAAAAGACAAACAAGGTGACTGGTGACTTCTGTCACACTCTCAGTGGCTACGGATAGTATTGAGGACCAATGACCCTCACATTCTCAAATGCTCCCTTGCAGCAGGGCTTGCTGCCACAGGAGCAAGGGAAAGGACTGACTGTGATGAACTACCATATGTCCACTAAGCACCTGTCCATAATCAAGCCATGGGACAGTGATGAGATAGGTTAGAGTCTCATGCAAATTATTATCTGTTAGAAGTCTCTTTTCATCTTACCCAAATTCTTTCTAATAAAAGCTCTGCAAGGGTCAGCTGGCACAATGGCAGTTACCTTGAAATGTGCAAGATACGGGTGAGGATATGAGTGCCTCCCGTTGCCATTAGATTGTGCGCTCTCCTGAGATGAGGCATCTTTCAGCTCAATGCCAGCTGTTGTATCCCAGAGGAAGCCAGAATATTCAACTCCCTGAAATTAAAAAACAAAAAGAGAAAAGCCAGTTATAAGAAGGTAAAACCAAAACATTCTGCCCAAATTCATCCCCACAGATGAAACTTGCACCTGCAAGTTTCAATACTTCTGTTTCTGTTGGCATTGGCACACATCGCTCCCAAAATATGCAGAGGTGGTAGAAGATGAAGCATGTAGGCATGGCGCCTGCTGAAGGCAGCCCAACTTACTATGTGTAAACGAGAAATAGCATCCTAGGCTATCAGTAGGAGACACAGAGATCAGGTGGAAACACTTCTTTATTGCATCCCAGCCAAACCCCCCTACCGGATGTGGGAGTAACACTTCCTGGGCACCTCCACTGACTTCACTGAAAACTGAGCGTGCCAAGCTGAAACATGCATTGCTATGCAACTCACAGCCCCTCACACCTGCACGGTGGTAATTTTGGATACTCAGGTAATTTTAGCATTGCTCGGTCCTGCCAAGGATTTAATAATCTGTTTTATTTTATACAGGCAGGGCATGTTCAAGACCACCACAGGGGTGAAAGATGCTGCCTCTCATGTGTGTGTTTGGGCTGATGTGGTCCTTGTTTCCTCCTAGTCCAGGCAAAGCACCGGATTCCTCTGAGCACGGTCAATAATGAGGTAGTTCTTTACCCACAGGATTATTTTTCTAACCATGAGCTCAGTCTCACTGGGTGACTGCTAGGGCTTGCAGTAGACAATGCTGCACACAGTTGTTCCTTCTCCACAGGCTGTATGCCATCTCACAGCCTTCTGTCGCCCGTAAGCTAAAAACACCTTGGCCCCTTCAGTCTCTTGGCATGAAATCGGGTCTAGACCTCTCAGCTCTGTCAATCTTTGCTGTCTGTTTTCCAGTTTGAACATTTCACACTCAGCTCTGTGCTCCTTTCATCCTGCATGGGCTTTTTTTTTGATAATTTCATGATATGGAATTGGCATTTTCAGAAAGCTGCCTACCCTGGCCGCATCAGCAGCAGAACCTAATTCAAAGCCTCTCCTCCCATCATCCAGACACCATTTTCCTTGGCACCATTCAAACCCACTTCCCTTAGCGAATCATAGTTAAATCCATCGGAAAAAAGAGTTTTCTCCATTTCAGCTGCAATAAAAAAGTGTTAACTGCTCCACTGACTTCCCAGGAGCCTTGAAAGTATTAAGGTTGGCTAAAATTCTTTGGCAGCTCCTTTGATAACTAACCCTTAAATACTGACCAAATTATTCCCCCAGTCAGAAGTCTAAGGTCTGAAAACTGCTACAGGAAAAGTTGTGGAAGAATAAAACTGTTATCAACAGGTGTTTGCTATTTCCTGGCTCCAGTCTTCACATTAACATGGCGGTCAAAAGTCATTGCCTGATTGAAGGCCAAATGCTCAACGTATGTGGAAGCACGAGCCTGAAGCACCATCCAGTATTTTGCATTATTTAGCCCTGTAGAGCCTCCTGAGATTGGTTTGTGCTGAAGATGCTCCGTTTGTGAGGTTACACTGTGTTACCTCATGGCATTGCATTTGTGTACGTGGTGTTCAAACCTGACTGGCTCATTAACTAGCCCAGCGTTAGAAGAGACTTTTTGGCTTATCGGAGGGTTCTCCAGCACAATCAGATTTCTGTTAAAGCAGCTAAAAAGCAGAGTCAGTAGATAAAATTTCTATTCTTAGCTTGGCCAGACATTTCTCTCATAATTTTGGGAACCAAAATTCATCCTTATTTCCCTACCAGTAAACCGAGGTGGATGACAAGTTTTATTTACTCAGTCCATAGTCAAAACTGCCATCGTTATCTTTGGAAATACAGTTCAAGAAAGAACTGATGGAAGACTCTGGATTTAACATAGAAACTCTGAGACATTTATTAATAATTCTTGGGAAAAGAGAAAAAGTGGAGGGAACAACTTTCACAGTTTTGCAGAACTATTTATATTCAGTGTTTTAATGATCTGGCCTACCAAGAGATCCCAAAGGAAAACTCCAGCCAGGAATAAAAATTAAAATAAATAAATAAATAAATGCCCTGAAGGGCATTTGCACTGTGCATTGCAATTAAGTGTGAATTGTATTAAACATTGGACACATTCAGACCCTCCATGCCTGTCTGGTGGTAGCTACAGTCCAATCCTTGTGCTGCTCGGGTAGTGGGTTTTAGCTGGAGTTTGGTTTCTTGTTCCCCTTCATTCTTGGGTTTTACTCAGAAGGGCAATAAAAAGAGGTGTGCCTCCCAAAAATCACCAGTGAACAGGGATGCAACCTGATTTGGAAAAGCCAAATTAAGGAAATGTGGATTCCAAGGAGAGTGGTTACAGGACACAAGTGAAGCCACAGTAACAACAGTGCTCAGAATAGATCATTCCAGATCAAATAGCTTGTTCAAGACAGCCTCGTGTACTGCAAGGCACCACTTGTTACATAACAGGTCTCCATTCCCTCTTTTACCCCACAACAACACCCCCACTCTGATGACTGCATCATGAAAATGACCCTGATCAGCAACAAAAGGCTTGAGCTCGAGGAGGATCTTCCTCGGAAAACTCATTAGCACCCTTAAGGGGAAAAAAAGAGACATTTCCTTTGGGAGACACTGCTTTTGGGCACTGTTAGTCACGTCCAGCCCAATGCAGCTATATCTTGAATATTGTCAAAGGTAGCAGGTGCAGCTGTCACTACAATATAAATTAGTACCTCTCTACAGTATATACACATATTTCCACAGCAGAAGACGCTGCAGGGAAAAGCACAGTGGAGCATGGTGCAGGTTTCAAATGGTGTCCACAGCATTTTTAACACCTGTGCAAAGCACTCTGGAGAACGTAGGAGATAAAGTCTTCTAGGTGAGGATGGCAGGCTGCATGGCCCCTCTGCAGACTCTTCACTTGCAAACTAGGAAAATGGGGAGCCCTTACAAATGCCAGCCAGTGCAGCACCAGGGAACAACCTCAGGTGATCAGCACGAAAAAATTCACAAGTACTGCTGCCTACCAGGGGCAAAACTGAGGGCTCTTTCCTTGCCCTAATGTGTAGCCTTTCTTCTGTATTTCTGTACTGCCTTTATCCACCATACCTCCCACAAATACACACACACCCTCCTCCTTAGAAGCACACCACAATTCTTCCAAAACATCAATCGCCAAGTCAAATTGAAAGCTATAGGAACAGTCAGCATAAAAAACAAGAAATGCAAACCTTTCCAAAAAGGATTTGCAATGTGTGTTGCCTTAAACATTCAAAATACATCCTTGGTTAGAGGGAGAAAAGAAAGCGAAGCCAAAGTTCAGACTTAGGGATTAATGTACCTTGTGTAGCTGGCCTGAGGGTTTTTCGGAAACAACACCCTTCCAACATCCTCTAGGGCCCTTCCACTTGCGGATGTTTGGCAGCGTTGGCTGGTTCAGCTCCATACAAAACTAGAGAGAAAAAAAAGAGGAAAAAAAATATCAGCTTCGTAGGGTTTTTAAAAAATTGCAAAATAAAGCATGTAATAAAGCATTGGTAAGAGGCACCGTGGAGCACAGGCTGTGCTCTTTGCCCTCCCTGAAGGCTCACAAAGGAGGTGGTCTGAGTCACATCCCAGGCTGACTCACCCCTGACTTGGAGATAAATAAAAATTAAAATAACTTATTGCAAATGTTGCGAGTAGAACGTTTCTCCCTCAGACTCTTTATTTTTCCCCTCCAAAGCTACTTGTTTGATTGGAAACGGGTTGCCTCTGTGCTGCTTCCAAAGATGTTGACTGCAACATATCCCATCCCTGCCAGGGGCTTCAGAAACAGCTGCTGAATACTCCCAGGGGTCAGGAGGCCTCCACAGCGTGGCTGGCTCCACTCCAACAATGCAGCCACTGGCATGACACAAGAGGAAGGGTGTAGGCCAAGCTCAATAGCTGGTGTTTTGGGGCTAAGGTTCCTCTGACTTTATGCCAGGGACACGTGGTTGAGAACCTCCACGCATGAGGGAAGCGGCTGCACACTCGCACGCAGTTCCAGCACGTCCTTCTCACGCTCCCTAGAGGTTTTCATCTTCCTGGTCACTGCTATACAACCACAGCACTCAGACACTGTTATGTGTCCAAGCACATGGTCAGAGCTTTAGAGGCTGCACCCTAATACCCAGCAGATCAGGGATACTGTAACAGTGGACACTGTGGAGAACCACTGAGCCCACCTGGGTAACATCCTGAGATTTATATATAAATAAATAAATAAATATTAATAAAAACCACCCTGGAAAATCTGGAATCTGGAACTCACTGATGTGGACAATATGGAATACATTTTGCCAGGAGTTTCAAAATAAGGCTTAACAGGAGGAGCTAGAGTCCTTGGCAAAGCTGATGCTGGCTCCAGAAAGGCTCAGCCTGGAAGCTGGCAGGGATAGGCATCGATCAAACACCCTGGCTGTGCTGCAGGTTCTGGTTGTGTGGAAAGGGGATAGTTAAAAGTCATCACTGTGAAAGATCAACAGGGACTTCCACTGTGCATCATTTTGTTCTGACACTGGAGAAACTGTGTTAAAATGCAGAGGCTTTCATAGTGAAAGAGGACCCTCAAACAAAATTTTGTATCCAAAATGTCCCTCCAGATCAAGCAGCAATTTAACAAAGAAGGATTTTCAAGGCAAACAATAACAGTGTATACACAGCAACTCTTTGCAATGGGGCATGCCAAACGCAGTTTGAAGAGCTACAGAGCTGCATAGATATAAGAGTTTCCTACATAGGTACCAGTAAAATGATGGAATAGTTATTGTCACGTTTATTTTATGTTTTGATTCAAAAATGAAAAATAAAGTCTTGCTCTTGCACTGACTGCCTTGGCTGCAAGTTCAGCATCCTGGAGGCTGAAGCTGTAAAGAGTGATTTTCAGATACACGAAACCCAGCCACTCTTTTTTGCCTCAGAAGGCCAAGTGTCATGCAAAAACACGTGGCACACCCTTTAAAACAATTTTCTGACACATAGAAGTTGGCTGGGGTTTCTTATTCAAGATGCCACACTAGCACATCACATTGTTACCTGTTATGTACCTTCAGGTACAGCTGGGGCTGGGCAGATTTATAAAACAAGGAGGCACAC